AAAGAGTGACAGAGAAGAGAAGCCAGGGCCTCAGGAACCCACAGCATGTTAGGTGTGGGTGGAGGAAAATGACGGGAAAGGGACAGTGGGCTGGTGGGACACAAACGGATGCTCAGAGCTGCCTGGGAAACCTTACTCCCTACCTCTTTGCCCTCCCCAACTGACTGAGCGTCTCATTGCCGTGATTGCTTTGAGGGGTGGAGCAGAAAGGATGAAGGATGAGGCTCTGAAGATGGAAGGGTGGACGTGACCTCCCACTCAGCTGAGAGAGTCCTGTGGGCCACCAGCAGGGCTATAGGGCAAGGGGAGTTAGGCCCTCACCTCTGGTGCAAAATTTAAGGGGACAGAAAAAAAAAAACTCAGTGATCAAGATGCTTGTTTTAATGCAATATTTTAAAAGTCAAAATTAACATGCAGAATACACAATGAAAAAGTATCCGAAGATCTCTCACTCCACCCTAATCCTGGCCCCAGCTACCAGCCAGCCTGCTTGGGCTCTTCCCACCTTCCTGGGTTACCGAAATAGAACAAAAAGGAGACAATTAGAGACCTGAAGGGTACCCTTCACACACACTTTAAAAATTCTTTAAGTCAGGACACCTTACCAGTGACTCCTTTAATTCATCTTTCAATTTTCCCACTCCTAATTTGATGAAAGGGCCAATATATATTTAAAAACAGGTGTAGAGAAGTGTATTCGCATAGTTCTGGTTAATGGTTAGGAGCGTGGCCTGTGGACCCAGACTCCCTGGGTTTGAATCGCAGCTCAATCTGCTCACCGCCTGTGTGATCTTGAGAAGGCTACAGAACCTCTCTGGGCCTCAGTTTCCCCATCTGTACAGTGAACAATAGTAATAGCTCTGCCTTGTGAAGTTGAGTTAATGCCTGTCAGGCACTTTGAGTGGCACCTGGCTCACAGCTAGCACAGTGTGGATGCCAGCTATGGTTACTCCCCGGTCCTAGGTTACGTGTTCTGTTACCCGAGGAGGAAGTTTCTTCGGGGGCTTTAATGCCCTCATCCCTGAATTCGTGGTGCCTGCTGCTTTCAGCTTTTTCCTTTACGCTCGGCTCTCCCCGCAACCCAGGGACACATACCCACCCAACACTTAAAGTTTGGGGTACAGTGGCTCTGACGCTGTCTGTGTAGCAGCAGCAGTAGACCTGCCCTGAGCTGTGACAGTCTCGCAAAAGTAAAATCAATCCAAAAGTCAGATTCAGAAATATTTTAAAATGTAAATGAGGAGAGACAGCTTTCTTTCCTTTGGGGGATAGAAGGTGTGGGTCAGGAGGACAGCATCCGGGGGGAACGAGGTCATGAACGTCTGCCATGATTTTCCTGAAATCCACTCCATAGGAAGCATTTTTCAGGTTTATTACAGTTGAGGAGGCTTATTAGAGATGAGCTGTCCGACTCTCGGACCCCGAGGCTAAGTTCCAGGGTCAGAGCCAAGGTCCATGCACTGCTGGCTCTCCTAAGGGCTGTGTTCAGGGAGCGCTGGGTTGCAGGTACATGGAGTGTGGGTCAGCCTCTGGAGTTGCCGGGCCAGGTGAAGCCTTGCGAGGTCTGACACGATAGGCTCGGCTGGTCTTAGCTTCTGTGATGGGGTGTGCAGCCCCACTGCCACCCTCTCCGTGCACCTACCCCTCTCTCCCCCTCCCTTTCAGAGTGGGATATAGAGACAGGAAAGTGCCTGAAGACGTTTAAACACAAACACCCCATCCTGGCCACCAGGATCAATGACACGTACATCGTGAGCAGCTGTGAGAAAGGGCTGGTCAAAGTGTGGCACATCATCACAGCCCAGCTGGTAAAGGTGAGGGGCGGGACTGGGGCCCCTCCCTTTCAGAGTGGGATATAGAGACAGGAAAGTGCCTGAAGACGTTTAAACACAAACACCCCATCCTGGCCACCAGGATCAATGACACGTACATCGTGAGCAGCTGTGAGAAAGGGCTGGTCAAAGTGTGGCACATCATCACAGCCCAGCTGGTAAAGGTGAGGGGCGGGGACTGGGGGGTCGGGGCACTGGGGGTGAGGGGCTGGAGGACACTGGCAGTCCTCCTCCAGGTAGCTCCCCAGACTGCCCTAGAGCAGTTGAGTGACAGTCACCTAAAGAGGGTGGTCCTGAAAAGGGGGAGGGGAAGGCCCCCCAAGAAGGGGCCGTTCTGAGCCAGTAGAAGGTCAAGGCCCACGTGAGCCACGTCGTCATGGGTGGGTGGTGGTGGCGGAGGCTGCATTCTGACTCCGCATGGTACATGGGCTTGGGGTCTTTTAACAGCAGCACGAGTAAAGTGCCTTCTCTTCCGGAACATTCCAGCCTGATTCTGGTGTGGGGTATAGGAATGAACAAAGCCACAACTGTTTTCCTCCTTCCTTTCATGAGAAGAGAACATTGGCTGTCTAGAAAGTGATTGTTCACACACAAAAAGCGTTCTTGCTGGATTGGAAGCCCCCTGGCCCTAGTGGGCGGTGGGGAGGTGTCATTTGTGCCGGGACACAGGATCACAGTGAGAAACACTGACCTGGCTGGCAGGCTCTTGCCACCAGTGGTGTCGTCACTGTGGTCTGCCCAGCAGTTGCAGGCACAGGTAAGCCCAGATGCCTCGGGGTCCTGGCAAGGAGCTGGGGACGGAACACCTGAGCCTTGCCCTTCTGGCAGCAGAGGAAGGTAAATCGTGGCCCTCTCTGGCACTCTAGGAAGGTGGGGCCTGCCCCGCCGCAGACCCGCAGGGAGCAAGGCCTTGCCCTGCTCACCTTCCTCCTTAACTCGGGAGAGAGCTCCGGAGAGCGGGGGGCATGGAGTCCGCTGGCCTCATCAGAGCAAAGGCGCGGTCAGCTCAGATAAATGCTAAGTGGTGGTGGCCATGGATTGGTGGAGTGTGGCTTTGGGATTCATCTCGAGAAGCCTCCAGCTCTGGCCTTTGAGGAGTCACAGTCTGAGTTGAAGACGGGCTGAAAACAGAGGCATCTTTTCTTACAGACGCTCAACGGCCATGAGGGAGCTGTGAAGTGTCTGTGCTTCGACCAGTGGCATCTCCTGTCTGGAAGCGCTGACGGCCTGGTGATGGCCTGGAGCATGGTGGGAAAGTACGAGCGGTGCCTCATGGCCTTCAAGCATCCAAAGTAGGTGCCAAGGAAACCGTGACCCAGCTCCTGCCCGGCTCCGTTTCCTGCCAGAGCCCACACTTCACTCTTTGGCAGATCGGTCCCCTCTGCTGACCTTCTGTTGCCTCTGCTCCTCGTCCGTCTCTGCTCCCTCTTCTGCTTGTCGTCCACTACCACCACCCCCTCTCCTGTCCTCCCTTATTTCTCTTAAGAAATAATACTAAATGTGGATTTTGAGAGGTTATTGAAACTTTACACTTGTGGCACATGGGATAACTTTGTATCTGTTACCTACCAAACTTAGGAATATTGGCAGAACTGTCCCCCAAATAATGCCAGCTCCACTAAGCTTAAAATCTTGGAATCGCGGGTTCACAAAAGCTTAAAATTATCCAAGTGCCAAAGGTTTAAAAATAACCAAGGGCTTAAAGAAGGAGCTCCCTTAAAGCCTGTGGCCTTGCTTCTATTCCAGGACAGCAAATGGATTTCATTGTACACTTCCAATCCCAGTTTAGTGGTGGTGGCTACTTGGAGCCAATTAAGAAGTACTCTGAGGTCACATCTAAGCTTATTTGAAAGGGTATTGTGGTCAGTTAATGGTTCTGCCACAGTCATGGGTTTTACAGGCTGCTCTATGCCACTCCTGTACTGCATGAATAATGCTTCTTTCCCTGAGTGCATTATAAGAAATACCAGGAAACTAAGTGCTGTCCCAATCGATTGAAAGAGTAAATGCGCTTTCCAGGAGGATCTATCACAGGATAGTTATTTAGTGAAATATGGCCCTATATTTCCTTGTACCCTCACAGGAACCTCTTGAACAGGCAGACTGGCTTTGTGGGCGGTGGAGGGGCATATGGGCATTTATGTGTATGTTCTCTCTCTGGGGTGTATGACTGCACTGTTGACAGGTGGGTGTCAGGAATGGCCAGTGTTCAGTGATTTACCCAACCCTTGGGTGATTATCAGTAAGCTTCTCAGCATACCATCTGGATTGTCAAAACTTGACCTCAAGGAGGGACTCAAACTTTGTGATGTCGCCTGAAAATTGTAACTCTGCGTTTTTAAAACCTTCCAAGCATGATTCAGTAAGATTTAGTTTACTTACTGGAAAATAATTGTTCCCAGCAAACTCAGCAGTATGTTCAACATTTCATCAATCTATGAGCCTCCCACTCTTCCTCAGCTATGAGACCTTCTTAGACCATTCCCACTTCCATTGAATGACAGCCCAACATACCATTCACATTGGCTCTTGATGCCTTGCACAGTTATAGCAAATCCATAGACAGTTACAGCACACCTGGAGGACATTGTCAATGTTCTCATTTTTAGGGCCCTTTCTCCCACTCATCTGTAGTAGTGCTGTGTATATGTAAGTGCATAATAAATAGTTCCAACTGATTGATAATGAGGACTAATTTGACAGATTGCCTTCCTGGAGGGTTCTAGTGATGCACTGATACCCATCTTTAGAATATGACATGGATGAAAAAACATATATTTGCTCTCTGTCCTTCATGGAAGAAGGACCAGAGAAAGAGGGCTCTGTTCTGTTCTCTTGGTCCAACATTTTTTTTTTTATCCAAAATTAAGATTCTGTATACAGTGTAGGAGAGAATGGTTATGAGGAGTAAAATTAGAGGTTGCAAAGTAAGGCTGACAAAAATGATGACCCTTAGAAAAGCTTCTGTACCCTGGAGTGTCTTTTTTTAAAGAAACCCTTATTCTTTAATGTCTTTTCCATAGCTAGTATTGTACTAATATATATTTTTGCAATTTTAAAATGAAGATATAATTCACATTACATAAAACTTACCATTTTGTAGCATACAATTCAGTGGTTTTTAGTATATCCATAATGTTGTGCAACCATTACCACTATCTAATTACAGAATATTTCCATCAGTCAGTAGTAGTGTCCTCTGTTTCATTTCTGATTTTAGTAATTTGACTTTTATTTCTTATTTTATTGGTCAGTCTAAGCAAAGATTTGACAATTTCTAGCTAAAGGTTTGTTGATCCTTTCAAAGAACAAACTTTTGGTTTTATTAATTTTCTCTATTGTTTTTCAATTCTCTTTTCATTGATTTCTGCTCTATATTTTCCTTCCTTCTGCTTGCTTTGGGTTTAGTTTGACCCTTTTTTTTCAGTTTCTTAAGGTGAAAGTTTAGGTTATTGATTGGAGAAATGTGAGTATTTACGGCTATAAATTTCCCTCTGAACACTATAGGCTGCTGCATCCCATAAGTTTTTTTTTTTTTTTTTTTTTTTGGTATTCGGGCCTCTCCCTGCTGTGGCCTCTCCCATTGTGGAGCACAGGCTCCTGACACGCAGGCTAAACAGCAACGGCTCACGGGCCCAGCCACTCTGTGGCATGTGGGATCCTCCCAAAATGGGTCATGAACCCATGTCCCCTGCATCGGCAGGGGGGGGGGGG